CTTCCACTTAAAAGTTGTATTCCCTTGAGTAAGTCATTTTCCTTTTCTGAGCCTAATTTTCTTTATCTGCTTACTACACAGAGCTCCTATGAATATCAAATGTAGAGCCTTATACAAAAGTTGAGACGCTACATAAATAAATTCAAGCTATAAGTACTAACAGTTTCCAAAGCTAAGAAAGCCATAGGTACTCAATACTCTTCATTAAGTATCAAATTAAATAAATTATTAGAAAAATGTGAATAAAAATGCTATATAAACTAGTATTATAAAAATTGGACTGAAGTAGGTGGCAGATCCAAGCTCTAATTCAGGTTCTGCAACTATATAATTTGTACTTCTTTGGATCTCTATAATGATATTGTAGAGGTGCTTCATGGGTGTACTTTCCAACATATAATGATGATTTAAAGGGGAATTTATCTGAGCTACATTTTGCTTGAAAAAACTTCTATTGTTAGATGTTTGAAAATCAGTGGCTTAGATTGAAGTCTTTTATTTCTATTTTCAGGTTTTTTTATAAACCTAATTTACCTTCAACTTTGTATTCTACTTTCTTTTTGGTACTAGGGATTGAACTCAGGAGCTTGTGCTTGCAAGGCAGGCAGTGGATACATGTATTCTACTCTTTCTCAACACATATCTACATTCTAAGACCAGAGTGCTCCATATCTATTTTTCTTTCTTTTTTGATACTTGGGATCGAACTCAGGACCTTGTGCCTGTGAGGCAGCTGGCAGCACCACTGAGCTAAATCCCCAGCCCCAGAGTGCTCTACATCTTAAAATGCCACAGCCAATTCCTGCTTCCACATTGTTATCAATATATAGACATTTCAACACCTTTGCTACTGCTGTTACAGCAGGCTGAACAGCTTTGCGTTGTGTCTCCATCCCACTCCTTACCCATTCACTCACCCAAACCAGTGCTTAATATATTGAATATACGACTACTTTCAAAAAGTTACAATTCACAATGGGGCAGGAACCATACATAATTGTCATATTAAAGAGGTTGCAGAGTCCTGTCAGGGAGATGGATGCATTTACTTGTCACAGGCCAATACTGTTAAATATTCATTTATATATCTGTACTCCCTATGATATGGTTTCATGATCACCTAACATCTTCTGATTCTTTAACTTCCTTTATGGTATATCTATAGAATGAATCCACTAGAAATAAATCTACTTAGCTATTATTACATCTATATCATAAATTAATAAAACAGTATTCTTAAATAGGACATCAGGTTTTTTTTTTTAACCTTGAGTAGAGTGAATCTATACTGAAACAAGGTAAAAATAACATATTATACCAAAGGCCTGGAAACTGGAATGTCAGATCTTGGACCTGTAAATTTATCAACAGACAAGTTGGAAATCTGTCAGATTTATTTCTGTATTTGCTTTGAGTTAAACAGGGGGAGAAAAAAACAACAGAAAATATAATGATTTCAATCTTAACGCCAACATGTGCCCTAACATCTTGAAATGTTCCAAGTGAACTCACAAAGATACTGTTGATGGGTGGTGTCAACTAAATAAAAATTGGATGAACCTCATCTGGCACTGTTTTCATTTTTATATTGACATACACTTTTACCTGTTCATGACCATTAAAGGCATACTACAGATCATTTCTGATCTTGTCTTCATATACCTTTCAAAAAAATTTCTATGTACCTAAAACAGGAACAAATGTGTTAATTACACACATTAAACCCTTCCAAAATTAAAATCTGTCAGTTCTCCACATTAGCTAGTCTAAATTTTAACTAATTCTGAAAGTTCAGAACATTTTTATGAACTTTTCAGTGCCCCAAGCCAAATAGCAAATTATCCCTAGATCAATTTATAACTTATTACATGCTTCATCAAAATAATTAAAGATCAGTAGCATTTGGTAGTTTTTTGAAACTAATTGGATATTAATCAAGTTTCAACCCAAGTTTTCTGAATTAAAAGACCACATGTGTTGTCAATATGAAATGGAATAAATGCTGCAAGTCTTATTTATTATTTTATATTTCTGTTCTCTAAATTTCAGTGCCCTGAATTTAGCCTAGCTTACTTATAGTATCAATCTATATCTCCATTTCCCAATTACAGAAAAGGACAAATACAGCTATACAATGCTAAAGATAGTCCTCTGTTAAGGGAACTTACTATTTGCTCCCAGTACTAAATCTATGTGCTTTTGTTTTATCTTCTTTTCTATATTTTTGAAGGTCAGGTATGTATCTGTTTATCTCACAGAGGTTTTCAGCCAGTACTTTGTACGTAGAGGGCACTTTAAATATAAATTAACAATTCTTTTATATGTATTCCATTTTCTCAGTCTTCAGAGCACAGATCACTCCCTTTTTAACTATAAGAACTATCTATAAACCCTTTAATTGCCACCAAAACTATTTGAGCATTATCTTTTTATGTGCATTTTATAAATATTTTAGTATATCAACAGCATCTAGGCATAGCACGGACAATTACTAAGTGTTAATTCATCTGCCCAATCTTTTAAAAATCAATTGGGTACTCTATGAAAAATAGTCAAAATGTCACATAGCAGCATTTGCAGGATTAGCATCAGCCGGATGTTTGCTCAGGCATATTCTCAGGCCCCATGGACCTGGCCACTAAATCAAAATCTGCATTTTAAAACCCCTCAGATGATCTGCAGGCACTTCAAGATTTAAGAAACAATGGTTTAGCTGGGTGTGGTGGCTCATGCCTATAATCACAACACGTGGCAGACTCAGGCAGGGGGACTGCTGCTAGTTCAAGCCCAGCCCAGGCTATACTGATTTCAAGGCCAACCTGAGCTACTTAGTGAGATACTGTATATTAAAAAAAAAAAAAAAGCAATGGTTTAGTCTCTAGTAGAATTTGAATGTCTAAGAAGCATATGACCAAATAACACAAAATACTTCATTATAATTGTGTATTTGTTGGTCTTCCTTATCTGTAAAATGAAGCTTTGTTGAGGGCAGGAACCCTTCCTATCTTCCATATCACTAGTATTTCCTGGCCTCGATGGGACTTAGAATATTACTCAGTGCTCATTTTCTCTGTCTTAAATGCATGACTGACTCAACAAAGTAATAATAAAACCTTTTCAGAAAGCTAATCACTCAAAAACCCTTTGTACAACATGATTTCACATACTACCATACAAAATCTTTAATTCAGTATGATTAGTTCAATTTCAAATATGCTGCCTTCTCTCCTTCAATATATTTCATGAGCTTGATAAAGAAAATACTGGGATCATGGTCCTCCGTTGGAGCTTCCAAGGGCCTCTTTTACAAATGAGATGGCTGTATTGTACTTTAATTCTGACTGTCATAAATCCATCCCATCCCATATGCCTGCACAAGGAGAGGAGAGAGGAGGAGGGGATAAGGCAAAAACAATTCTGTATCATGACTATCATAAACCCTGCAAAACAAGATTCTCTGGACTAACTGCCATAAACTAACTGCCAGCAAGAGGGGAAAAAACAGAGTCAAGAAAACCCTCTCCTTTCTCAAGAGCAAAAGGTGATACTAGAAAATACCAGGGAGTGGTAAAAACCAGCGACTACCTAGCGACAGAAGGCGGAAACACACCAGATCAGCACCAAAGCGGATAGCGGTTAGAAACATCCAACAAGGGTGCCAGAAACCACTTTCAGGTTTACAGAGAAGGAAAGTCAAGGGAGAACTGGCAAAGGAAATAGTTCTATGAAGGGTGTAATTTACGATGGTGATTATTCTTGCTAATGATGAATATTTTGAGAGATGAAACGGACAGTAAGGGAAGAAGATGAGAAAGGAGGAAAGGGGGCGACGATTGAGCGCACTGCAAAAGGAAGCCACTGCAGATGTCCCTGTCAAGCCCAAGGCGCTGGGAGGGAGGCAGCCCAGGCATAGGTAGGTGACAGCGTCCGGCTTGCCGACCCCCGCGGTGGCCGAAGCCATCTCCTTTGAAGCCTGCGGGGCCCCGGTGGGCACCGGAAAGGGCGGGCTGTGTGGGGAAGGAGAAAGAGGATGCTGGGCTGCCTAGGTACCCACCTTGTCCCAACGGAGCCACTGCCCGATGGCCGTGTCTAGCTGAGGGTCCCCGGTGCGGTAGGGGGCGTGGAGCAGGTTGGAGTTCAGGTCCCCCTCGGCGTTTTCAGCCATGGCAAGCAGAGGAGAGTGTGCGGGCCAGAGGGGCAGACGGAGACTCCGCGCTGGGGGGCCTGGGTGCGTTCACCAGGGTCCGAACGCCCCCTCCTCACCGAAGGGCATCGGAGACTAACCGCAAAGTGTTAGTGCCAGCTTCTGCCGTAGCTTTAGGAAACTGGAGAGAAGGTGGATACAGCCACCCCCTCACCAGTGGACCAGGTCCCGGTCTCTGGGCAAACTGACTGACACTGGCGTGCTGCGAGAGAACAACAGTCCCAGATGTCTGGGTCGCAGCCGCGGCCGCCGCAGCCACCGCCCTCACCGCCTCACTAACCGCAAAGTGTTAGTGCCAGCTTCTGCCGTAGCTTTAGGAAACTGGAGAGAAGGTGGATACAGCCACCCCCTCACCAGTGGACCAGGTCCCGGTCTCTGGGCAAACTGACTGACACTGGCGTGCTGCGAGAGAACAACAGTCCCAGATGTCTGGGTCGCAGCCGCGGCCGCCGCAGCCACCGCCCTCACCGCCTCACACGCAAAATTTACAGTCCTCCGGGTGTGTGGAACCGGTGCACGGCTCTTTTTATTTGCTCAGTTTGCCTTTTGCCAGGCGTCTTATCCTCGTCATTATCCCCACACGCCCATACATCTCCTTTCCTCAGTCTGCTGGCACGGCTACCATGAGTGTCCACAGCACGCGCTCTCGGAAGCTCTCCGGTGCGCGCTTCAAATCCCCAGCTTCGTTTTAGAGCACGCGCCTGTCGCGAGGGGGAGCCGGCGGGGGGAGGCTGGAGTGCCCGCGCATGGTCTGACGGGAGTTGTAGTTCTTTTCTCTCCCTTGGCTGTGCAGAGACCTCGGAATCGGTGACTTCCAGCAGCCGGCGCCCTCCTCAGAGGAGAAAGCTGTGCCTCGGGGCTGGCTCCCTACCGACACGCCCTGTGCCCGTTGGTTATGTTGCTCTTTGTGGTCCTGCCATTAAGTTAATTTTTAAAAGGGTGACATAGGAAAGGAACAACTTGTATTCATTTAGTTTTACAGTTAACACGTTGCATTCTGTCACTTCAACCATCCTGTGAGGTAAGTAGTTTCGATCTGTTCCTATTTTACACGCAATAGAGGAAACTGACTGAAAAGTGAACCGAATTTTCTAAAAACCAGCGTTCGTGAGTAATGACACTAGGGTTCCTAATTCGTCAGAGGTCCTCAGCGGGCAGTTCTTTTTGCTTTGCTACTGCAGTGGATTAGAGAAAGTAGGGAAAACAAAATGACTCGAAAATAGATAAAGTGGTTAATAAGAAGGATGGTCAGCTTTTACCCATAATATCAGTATTGTACAAATGTCATAAGTTCCATAGAACAACGACAGTGGAAGAAAAAGAAATTGGTTCTCCCGAGAAATAACCCTCAATTTCGTTTCATCTCTGCCTCCTCTCTTCACGGAATACTTACCTTTAAAGTCGCACAACTGGATATCTGGGAAATAACTGAGTTCTTTCCAGACCACCACCCAGCCATTCCTGAGTTTCTTAGTGTGGCTTTCTTATAATGACTATTATTTTGACCAAGTATCTTACAACTCTTCTTTGTCAGCTTTTGTGTATGAAGGGCATAATAATATTTACAGCCTGGTTGTACAGTAACTTAATAAATGGTTTTAGAGACTTTTGAGGTATACAGATAAAAGGCACAGTAAATTCAAAATACTATTTTCTTCCTTTAAAGTGCCATAATAAAGTACAAACTACAAAGGTACGAAAGGATTTTAGTGCTAATTCTTGAAAAATAATGTGACATCGCTGGAAGTTGCAGTTTTCCTAAGCATTTGAGTGTTTCTTTAATGGTGTGAGCAGGTTCTTTTAATCACACAAGGCCTGGGACATCCATGCGTCCAGAAGAGAAATTTATCTGCCACTATCATTACCATTATTTTCCATGATAAATATTAATTAAACATTTACTCTATGCTAAGCATTATGTTAGGAGCTGAGGCTACAAGAATGTGTATAATTGTTTATTTCAAGAAATAAAATCTAGTCAGGCATGGTAGTGCATGCCCATAACCCTTGTACTCAGAAAGATGAGGCAGGAGATTGCAGCAAGTTCTAGAGCCAGCCTGGGATGCACAGTGAGACCCTGTCTGAAAAAAAAAACCAAACAAAAAGAATATTTGAAGAGAGGATATATGAAATAAGATATAACCAATGATAAATAGCAAATTCTAGCTGCAAAGAACTATTAAGTCTGAGCTGTTCAATAAAAGCATCAGGCAGAAAGGAAGATCTGCACTGGGCTTTCAGGACAGAAAATAAGCAAGTTGAGAAAAAGGTACAGAGCATTTTAAACCAATAATTCAGTGGTTCTCAAATCTCCCCAGGAGAATACTTAAAATGTACTAAATATTCCTGGACACTGCCCCCAAGAAATTCCGAATCAGTACTTTGGGATGGGGCCTATGTACCTGCATAAAGATGTCTATTAATTATGAGGTGGGTGGCCATAGTCTGGCACTAGTAGGATCAATGTGTTGCCATCCTCTGGGAGCTTACAAAGAAATACAAATTTTCAGACCCCTAACTAGTTCTACCAGATTAGTATCTACATTTTAATAAGATTCAATAATTATATATGTTAAAATTTATAAGTAGTGGTTTTTATGAGACAATTCTAATTCAATTCTGAGAAATACTACCAAATAAAATAGAACTTTCAAGAGATGGAATATAGGGTAAGTATAGCAGAAAGGAGAGATACAAGGTCTAATTCAAAACCAGGGTCAATGAATCTTTACTTTTATCAGCAAGATCATGCCAAGCATTAACTGGTTTCCAGAAATCTTGCCCAGCAGATCAGGTTTATTTTTTTAGGCACTGAAGAATAACCGAGAATACCCAGAACTCATCAAATATAACAACAATGTCTGAATGTGTCCAGAAGGGGGAGTATAGTAGTTTCCCTAGTCAAGAAAAGCTCAGAAACTTCATTTCTGTTGCAGTTTGCTCAGGGCATTTTGTATTTGTATTTGCTAAGTTTGTCAACACTAATTGTGGTTATGAAAGAGAATGTCCCTTTGGTTTTCAGAACAGAGATGCCTTCTGGTAAATGCATTGTCAAGTGATTTTGTCATTGTGTAAACATCATAGAGTGGCTAGAGCTTCATTATGTGATAAAATCTATAGGACCACTGTTGTATATAGCAGTTCACCTTTGAACCTAACATTATGTGGTGCATGACAGTATAATTAATTATAATTAATATGTTTTTAGTATGTATAACTTATTATCATATATAATTGTGATACAATATATTGGGTTAGCTTTCTATTGCTGTGACGAAATACCTGAGATAAATCACCTGAAATAAACAAAGGTTTATTAAGAGCTCATGGTGTCAAAGGTTTCAGTCTGATTGGTTGGCTCCACTGCTTCTGGGCCTGTGGCAAGGCACTATATCATGGCAGGGAGCTCTGATATAGCACAGAATTGCTCACTTTATGATACTTAGGAAACAAAAGTGAAAGAGACAGAAGGGTTCAGTGTCTCAGTACCCCCTTTCAGGGCATGTCTCCCGTGACCTCACTTCCTTCTACTAGGCTTCACTTCACAAAGGTTTTCCCACCTTCCAGTAGCCGCACAAGCTGGGAATCAAGCCTTCAATATATGGACTTTTGGTGGATATTTAAGATCCAAACTATATGATGTGTATTTATATATTATATATTAACATATACAAAATATATGTGATGAAATTAATATTTTAGTATCACACATTTATATAACTTACTCTCAAATGGTCCAGAAAAACACTGTATATGCAAGTATTTATTATGTTTTATATACAAACATACATACCATATAATTAGATAAATAATAAATGGCACAACAAATAGAGAAAATGTTAGTAATAGGAGAATCAGGGCACAGTATATATAGATATTCTTTTATATTGTTTTACTTTTGTAACTTTGAAATTATTTACAAATAAAAATGTGTAAGCCAAGCATGGTGCACACACCTGTAATCTGTGCTACTTAAGAAGCTAAGGCGGAAGGATCAAGGATAGCCTGGAAAACTTATTGAGATGGCTCCAAGTTTAAAAAAAAAAAAAGGGCCGGACATGTAGTTCAGTAGTAGAGTGCCCCTGAGTTCCATTTCTACTTCTTGGGGCAGGGGGGAGTATAACAGAAAAACATCAAATGTATAAAAAGTATCTGTTTATTTTCTTTGTTGTTTTAAAAATATCTACTTGGCACATGCCAATAATCCTAGCAATCTTGGAGGCTGAGACAGAAGAATTGCAAATTCAAGTCCAGCCTGCGTGACTCAGAGAGACCTTGTCTCCAGCTGAAAAAAGGGTTGAGAATGTAGCTCAATGGGAATGCCTGGGATGAATGCCTGGAAGAAAAAAAAAATCTCACTCAGTTAAAGAGGCAAGAAATGAGTTTTAAAAATCACTATCAGAGGGTCCCCCTCCTCTGTCTTTATATGGAACTGGGGGAAAAGTAAGAGTATAGAGCTGGGAGTGGTGGTGCACGCCTGTAGTCCCAGCACTTGGGTGGCTGAGGCAGGAGGATCACTGTGAGTTTGAGACCAGACTGGGCTACATAATGAGTTCCAGGCCAGTCTCAACTACATAGTGAGACCCTGCCTCAAACAAACAAACAAACAAACAAACAAAAAAGAAAAGTAAGAGTATATAGTTCTAGTTTACCAGGCTTTCTGCTAACATCTGCATTGTCTAGGGGCTAATTGGCTGCTGATGCTGGAAGTCTGTCACCTTTCTCCTTATATACTATCCATAAACAATTATCAGGAAACTTGGATGAGTCTATAAACCCCAAAGCTTCTGTCTAGGTTCACCACATAGCCATCCCCTCTAAAAACTTTCAATTCTTTGAAGTGCTGCCACCAAGTAGAGGTTCCTGTCCTATCACTTTAAATCTTGAGGAAATCTATTGTTCTGCTCTGTGTTAAGTTTGAAAAAAACCGAGTATTTTCTTGTTCACAAAGATGGTTGTCATAAACTCTGTGAGATATGTGTCAGGAAAGGAAATACCTGACAAACAACTTTCTACTTTTTAACCTTATTACGTAACCCTCCTTGGAGGCAAAAATATAGAAGAACAAATAAAAAGCAGGTGTCTTTGTGTAAGGCACAATGGGTGCAGAACACAACCAGGATTATAATGAAGCAAAGTGAAGAACCCAGAATGAATTTAAGGGAGGCACTTGCTCTCAGGTTTTTGGAAGTACAAAACTGGAGCCTGACAGTGACTGTCTCATTACATTTTCAATAGCTTTATTTATAAATAATTCATATACCATACA